TTTGTATATTGCAATGAATAGACCCACTTTTCTTACTTTTTTTTTGCTTAGCAACCCAAGATAAGATGAATGCTACCTCCAGACAAACACCTTTTAATGGTCCCTATTATTATTGCTGTTTAGAATATTTATAATGGAAGACAGAACTGCTGACTTCAACATTAATAGACCTGTCCCAAAAGTGATTCTTTAGCATTTCTCTACTGAATTCTTCTTTCCAATTATGCAGGAAAGTGTGTGACTTTTATGAGTCATCATTTCACTAGGAAGGGAGTCTCTTATCTCAGAAACCATACATGCAATATCTGCATTCTTACAACATCAAAATTCTCATTGAGCTCATCTTTAAAGAGTCAATATAGAAATGCTTCAGAATCATATCACCGGACAGAAAAGCAAGTCCCTAAGATGAAGAACACAGTAGTGAAGAATGTTTTTGATCAGTGCATCCTAAGGTAAAGGTAGGTCTAGCTATTTGTTTTTTCTGAGTTGCATAATGGGTCTATTCCTGGTTGCCACATTATTTGTAAGAAGAAGGCAATGCCTTGACCTCATTGAAAGAGTTGTGATTATTTTCAGTGACAAAGACTGCTGGTGAGGGTTACTTAAGTAGGACAGGAAAATTAATTGAATGCATTGGCTCAGTCCTATTTCTCATCTTTAGGACCCTTTCTTTAGGGTATTTTTCCCCGCCTCTTTTTGGGGAGCAGACTTTCAATTTGCATGTTGAAATAGAGAGGGTCTATAGGCTTAGGAAGAGTAGACTGTGGTAGGAGGAGGGATGGTATGTGATTTGAATCAATATAGACTAATTAAATATATTTGATTTATCTTCTAAATATGAACATTGTTGTTCAGTTGTTTTTAAGTCATGTCCTACTTTTTGTGACCCTATTTGGGGTTTTCTTGACAAAGATACTGGAGTGGTTTGTTTGCCATTTCCTTCTCCAATTCATTTTACAGATGAGGAAACTGAGACAAACAGGATTAAGTGACTTATGCAGGGTCACACAGCTAGGAAGTGTCCCAGGCCTTATTTGAACTCAGGCAGACAAGTCTTCTTGATTCCAGGCCCTACACTCTACCCACTGTGCTAGATGCCTTTAAATATGATCATTCAATGTGCTGAGAGAAATGAAGAAGCAGAAAAGGATCTTATTTCTTTCCCCTTCTTTCAAAGCTAGACTCTCTATTCTGAACACCTGTGGTACAATGGGGAAATAAAAAAAAAACATGCTACATTTAGGGTCACATTGGTTTACTTGGGTTCAAATCCTAGCTCTGCTACTTAATTCCTGGGTAATTTTTTGGAAAAGCACTTGACCAGTCAGTTCAAGTCCTATAAAACCAGGATATTAGACCACATTGCCTCTAAAGTCCCTTCCAGCTCTAAATCTGCAACCTATAATCCTACAATCCCACTTGTAGTCTCTACCATGCACTGGGTAGTTACTTGGCACATCCTAATCTCTATTCTTTGTTTTTATTTCCTAGTTTGTCTCCTTGATAAGGTGTGAATTCACACGACAAGGTAACAATTCTTCCAGTTTGGAGTCTTTGTTGATCAAGCCTTTGTCCTCATTCAAGTTCATGATTAGTTTGCTTACCTGAGATAAGTCTTGGGTTTAGACTTTAGAAGAGAAGTGAGGGGCAGCTAGGTGGGGCAGTGGATAGAGCATCAGCCCTGAAGTCAGGAGGACCTGAATTCAAATCTGGCCTCAGACCAAACACTTGACACTTACTAGTTGTGTGACCCTGGGCAAGTCACTTAACCCCAATTGCCTAAAAAAATAAAAATAAAAAAGAGAAGTGAGACAAAAACAAAACAAATAACCAAACAAACAAAAAAACCTAAGAGAGTTAAACTGCTGAAGGATTTCTCAGCTCCATGTAGAGAAGTCCTAGAAGCTATGTGGCCCCTCCAGGAAACTATAAATCTCTTCAAGGAATTATGTGCATGTAGGAACCTGCAGACAAGAAAAGGAGGCACATGAAGAGAAATAGTCCTTAGGGAGAGAGTACAAGATGACCCAGAGAAGTCTTCCTGAGGTAGAAGATAGTGAGAGAAGGAGCAGTCACCAAGAGAGGAAGATGCAAAACAGAAGATCAGCACAGCAAGGATTCATGATAAGAAACTGCAATCTTTATATAGTCCTTCAAAAATACTGTTAGTCATCTGTTTCTTCAGACCCTGAAGGAAGCTACATTTGCTTGACTCTATAGGATTCAGAATTCAGATTGCTTTCCTTATTGAGGGATGTATTGTAAGTCTAGAAAAAAAAAATGGTTTGTGTCTCTTGGGAAGATGGAAGCCCATCACAAAAGAAAGGGCAGTTGTTTTGATTGTTTATGAGTTTGGGTATGAGTCATTCTTTTTAATTTTTTTTAAACTAAATAAACCTTACCATATATATGATGTTTTGTTAGCTTGTGTGCTTGCATAGAAACTGAGAATCCTTTCAGGCATGAGCCCAATTCTGATGTTCCCAGAGGAAACTCTGGGTGGGAGTATGAGCCAAACAGTATCATTATTAAGAAGCCATCAAGATTAATCAAGTCCATTTGAGCCAAGAACTGAAGTTTTTATTCCACAGGTTATTGTGTCTTACCTCTCCATTAGAGTATATACACCTTGAGGACAAGAAGATTGTTTCATAATTTTTGCAATCCAAGACATTGCAAAACATCTTATACATGGGAAGTACTCAAATTCCCATTTATTCCACAAACATTTCACATCTACTATATGCAATATATTCTGCTAGATACTGGGGAAATAAAGGGGTAATGTTGACAGTAGTAGAATATGTAGTTATGCTCATTACAACCTGTAGTGTCTATATGGTAAAGAAAAAGGAATGACCACAAACCAATGACTCTGTGTACAAGTAGGCAGCCAGGTTACAGGCTGGGGAAATATAATATCAACCCAAATTCAGACTCTCTATTTCCACTTTTCTACTCCATTAATATAAGAACTACATTAACATAAGGATATAAGGCAAATCTTCCTTCTCAGTTCTGGCCCAGGAAACATCTGTGCTTGAGGACATGAGGCCAGCTCTTTAACTCTGCTTTTACTACTTTGTAGAAGCCATGATGACAGCTAGGAACTTTTCTATTATGAATAATTACACAGTCATACAAATCTATTTAGCCCACATCCTTCTAGCGTACAGCCACCGGTTGATTTAAGATGCAAACCTTTTGTAACTCACTGCCAAGAAGATGAAATATGGAGTTTACCCTGGCTTTCCTTTGCTCTAGATTTTACTGTAAATCATTAGTCACTGTGGGTTGCTAACCATATATCAGGCAATTGCCCCATTGCTTGTGGTACTGAAAGGATCCCTTATACTGACCTAGAAAATGGATCAGTTGTTTTAAGTGTAAGTAGGATATACCAAGATCAGAGTTAAGCCAGAAGCAACAATAATAAAAATCCCCTCCTTGCTTTGACAGATTTGTGAACTTGTCATTGTGGGCACTGCCTTCACCATGACAGAAAGATCATCTCTGGCATATTTTACCATGCTGAAAATGTTTAAAATGCTCTATGCCATCCCAATGAAACTGTTCCCACTGTCTGAAGACAAGTCTAACTAAGCACAGAGATTCATCACAAAAAAATTAATGAATAATTTTTTTTGACCATAGCAAAACAATTTTAAAAATAATAAGCACCAACCACTTTAAGATCACTGTTACCTCCATGTCTTTGGACACATATAGTCCCATGAAGTCCATTGATAATTGATCAAACTGGACCATAGTCACCATGATGTGCTACGTGGAAATCTTACATTGTTTGGAGTATCTATTAGTCTAAATAGTAAATTATTTACTGACCTATTTAGGCTCATTCACCTTGACCTTTGAGGTTATTTTTTCCCTGGTAAACTATTTTGGGAAAGGACAGGTAAAAGAATGAGGCAACATAAAAGGAGAGTGAATTTTCTAATTTTTTTTCTATCAGACATTCTGATTCTCACTTTCTCTCCCAACCCTCTCAGTGAACCCCACCCTTCTGCACCCTAAACATATATGCAGGTTTCAGCTAGCTTAATTCTTGCTATTGTTTGCCAGGGCTTAACATGGCTCTGTTATAGATGAGATATTTGAGGTCACCTAAGAAATGGCAAGATGAAAGCCACTTATGTAAAGCGAGAATTTTCATCTAACCACCAACAAAGATCAAGCACATGAAGTACGTATTCCCTGGGCAAAAAGGGAGGGAGATTCTATTTTCTCAGGCTCATTCTGTTGGAAAGCATACAGTAATATGGGCAAACAATTAGTGTGAGCCAATTTGAGCAAAATACCAAATTCAATTGATGCCGAAAGCACACCCACGTGCATGCACACAAAAGATTTTAGAGGAGGAGTGATCATATTTAGTAGGGTCTTCTTAAACATTCTAATCCTCGTAAGCTTCTGAGAAAGCTACATTTTTCATGGGGTGAACTTTAATATTTATTAGTGGACATTTTAATCCTAACAAAAATAGCCCCATCAGCAGGAAGAGAAATACGGCAACAAACAAAGAAACATCCCACGAATAACTAAACATTTCAGGAGTCTCACAGAGGGTAGGAATGACAAGGATGTAAACCATGGACAAGCCTCTAGAACAAACACTCCAGTCTACCCGACTCAAAGCAGCATTTTCATTTGTTCAGAAATGATCATTTCGTGTTTGTGACAGTTCTGGCTAATGATTAGCTACTGTTTAGGAAACCTACTTGTACAGTATGTCTCCGTACTCTTGAAAAATAAATAATGGGTGATATTTATGAAACACAATTTTACTGGACAATGTGTGGTCTATAATGAGAACCCAAATAAACCAGGGAGCTGTTGACAGAAAAGGGAAGAGGTGAAGATGAATGATGCAATCTTCTATTTCTAAGGTTTTGGTGTAAAGCTTTCAGTGTTAGACAGTAAAGGGAGAGCAGTGATTTGGGTAGTCATAAGTATGCAAGACAAAGTTTGAGAGCCTCGTGCTTGCTTCCACAGCGCATAGTCTAAAATTGGAATGATACGGAGAAGATTAGCATGGCCCCTGTGCAAGGATAACACACAAATTTGTGAAGCATTCCATATTAAAAAAAAAAGTTTAAGAGCCTCTGTAGTCTTGTTAAGTGAAGCTTCAGGGTAATCTACATAGCCCAAGTATTAACTTCCAGGGCCACAATGGGAATTAAAATAAATTTACTAACCCTACCCAAATAACATGTGGGTTTGGGGGAATTGTCATAATATGTGAAACAGTGAAATCAAAAGACAGATTTTTTTTCCCAAGGGCCTCAGGGCTTAAAATCAGGAAAACTCATCTTCCTGAGTTCAAATCTGGCCTCAGACACTTACTAGCTGTGTGATCCTGGACAAGTCACTTCACCCTGTTGGCCTCAGTTTCCTCATCTGTAAAATGAGCTGGAGAAGGCAATGGCAAACCACTCCAGTATCTCTGCCAAGGAAAGCACAAATGGGGTCATGAAAAGTCAGACCCGCCTGAAACATGTCTTGAATAACAACAAATCTCTCACTATGCTGTGGATATTGCTGTAGGTTGGGCTCATTAAAAAACTAAAATAACCATAAGGCTATAAGCATTGTTTTTTAAAAGAGCATTTGTTAAGCATCTATTAAAGAAAAGATTTTTAGAAATGAAAGGAATTTTCAAGGTCATCTAGTCCAATTCCCTCAAACTTCAACCGGAGCAAACTAAAGTTTGAGGTTATAAGGTATAAGAAGACTGGAAAGGAGGGTGGAGATTATGAAGAGTTCTGAATAGCAAACAGAAGATTCTTTACTTGAGAAGTATAAGAAAAGTGTTATGTGATGTCTACCCCTACAGATCATTAACCCCAGATAAGCTCAGTTACTTTGACTTTTTATGAATAGATAGTGTGAACAATGGAAAAGACCTAGCCTGAGTATATATGAAACTGTCTCCAAGTTAAAATATATAAAATTATCTCTAGGCCCTGATAGTCTACTGGGAGGGTATGATACTCACACAAATAAGTATAATATTAAATTGTAGGTTTACGGAATCTTGGTCTTCCTTTACTTAGAATATCAGGCAAGCCATAAGGGCTAATGGAGGAGAAGCTTAATTCAATCAAGATATTGAAGCTTCATACTAAGAACTTTAGGGAGATACTAGAGTTGAAAGAATTCTGGATTTGCAGCTATATGTGTTATTCTATCATTTCAGTTGTGTCCAACTCTTCATGACCTCATTTAGGGTTTTCTTGGCAAAGATACTGAAGTGGTTTGCCATTTCCTCTCTCCGGATGAGGAGCTGAGGCAAACAGGGTTGAGTGAGTTGCCCAGGTTCACACAGCTAGTAAGTGTCTGTGGCCAGATTTGAACTCAGGTTTTCCTGACTCCAGACCCATTACTCTACCCCTTGTACCACCTAGCTACAGATGTGTGACCTTGCTTCAAATCCTGTCTTTGCTACTTAAAACATGTGTGACCTTGGGAAGGACATTCCTCCTTTTGAGTACCAGTTTTCTCAGAAAACTGGACTAGAATAATTTCTAGGGTCTTCCTCTAGTATTAAAGACTATGATTCTATGTGATAAACCCTTTTATACCAGCCCAGCATGTGCAGATACCATCCAGTGGCAATGAGAAGAAAGTGCTTCTTGGGGGCAGAGATTTGGAACTTGCTAACATCCTGGTTAAGGGTATAGGACTAGAGACAGACTAAAGATGGAACTCAACAGCTGGCTGTTAAAAGCCCCCTTCTTCACACATACAAACGCTGGAAAATATAAGCTACATCACAAACCACTGGGCAAAAACCCAGTTACCCTTTGGGATTTCTTCCATCCAAGGAAGTTAAGTGATGCTTTGAATAGAATCAAGGTTTCCCTGTCAACTTTTCTGCTCCCCATCTATGGAATGACTTAGTTAAACCACCGTGACTGAGACAGACTATGAAGCCAAAATAAAACAACATTGCAGCTGCTGGTGCCACAGGTGCCCATCACAGTCAAATGTAAACCAATCTGCCATGCTCTGCTGGGGAATCTGTATGACTCAGAATCAGGAAGGGAGAGAAGTCATCATTCTAGGCTCCCACACTAAGTCTGCTGTGTGGAGGAGCAATTTTCTTTCTGTCAGTGCTAATGCTTTCCATTTCCCTTTGCCAAGAGGAATCCTTTGGCTATTATAGCTCTCATAATCGAGCATTTGGTATGCAGAAAATTGCATTGTCTTCTTTCTCATCTAGAAGCTTTTATCTCTTTCCTCTATTTTCTCATATTTAGATTTAGCTATTAAAAACTGCGTTTTTTTAATCAACCTTTTTTTTTCACATTTATTATATGTAAGGCACCATTGTATACACAAAGGAAAATATAAGATAAAGTTCCTGCTTCTTCCCTTCTTCCAGTGATCAGCTCCTTCCAGACAGGGAGGGGGACTCCATTTGGGGAACAGTCCCAGACTGGCCAAGCTTCATTCCTCTCCCTGTTGTGCTTCTGACTGTCTCATGTGTCACCACCTTAACTCAGCTATATCCTTACCTTGGAACTTCTCTCAGCACCTAGGATCTTCTCACCCCTCTGCCATGCCAGCCCTTTTCCCCCAAGGCTGAGTTCCAGAGGAAGAGGGGAGACCTTCATTTTGGGGATGGACCCAAGCTTGGCCATACTTCGTTCCCCTCCTGTCAGCAAGTCCCTATGTTGGTATTTTCTTCCCTGTCTCTTACCCCCAGCCCTCTTTTATGTGTTGTCTTCCTTCATTAAAATGAGAGCTCTGTGAAGACAAGGACTATTTTTCTTTTTCTTGTCATTTGTATCCCTAACACTTACCTGCCACATAGTAAGTACTTAACAAATGCTTATCACCTGTTGCCTGACCTCAAGGAGAATAGCTCTTGAACAGAACTAACAACAATGCTTTAGAAAGATTATTTTAGTGGCTGTTTAAGGAATGGATTGGAGAAGGAAGAGACTGAAATTAAGGAGAGACCCCAATTAGGAAGCTAACGGAAAGGTCATTCAATGCAACTCGGTGTGATGTGTAAAAAGTTTGACACATAGTGTCTTAGTAATTAATCATTTTATTAACAATGCTAGGATATTATTAATAAAAGGATGGTCATTTGGCTGGCTTTCTTGGGCCAAAGGCAAATCAAGGAATATGCTGATGTGCCCTTGGAAGACTGGGTGTGCCTGAGGGCAAAAATCAACTCTGAATAGCAAACAGAAGATTCTTTACTTGAGAAGTATAAGAAAAGTGTTATGTGATGTCTACCCCTACAGATCATTAACCCCAGATAAGCTCAGTTACTTTGACTTTTTATGAATAGATAGTGTGAACAATGGAAAAGACCTAGCCTGAGTATATATGAAACTGTCTCCAAGTTAAAATATATAAAATTATCTCTAGGCTTTGGTTAACAATTTATGAGACAATGAGTATTATAATGAGAGTTGGACCTATTCTGAGGAAGGGCTGGGGAATGTGACTTTGATTATGTCCTGGTTGTTGTTGTTTGTCCTCAGTTCTCCTAGAGGACCATGACATCAAGGAGGTGATGCTATGATGCAAGGGAATTGGATTTAACTGGGCAAAGTCTCCAACCTCACTTTCTCCTCCAGAACCATCTGGGTCCAGTGGCCAGATATAGATCAGGACAACTGGAGATGGCCCAGGACACAGTGTGTGACCTTGGCCTTTTCAAGCTAAGGTCTTTAAAAGGTCTCAGTTTAACTGCGGCAACACCCATTCAGTGATTAAGGCTTAGTAAGAAAGGAGGTAGAGAATGGCTTCTTTACCTAATGAAAAAAAAAAGCCACCCCTCCAGCCTCGAGCAATCTAATTAAAGAATTTATCCTCACACAAACCAGAGTAGAACACAATGGGCTTCTCTGCCTGGGTGGGGTCTGAACAAGATTAAAGAGAAAGTTAATCCAGTCTTTCAGATGCTGGTTTGGCCTAGTAGTGAGTAAGGTTTCAGAGAGGGATAAATCTTGTTTCACCCCAATATTAACAATTAGTTATTTAATTATCATTTCTCTCATTTGTAAACATTAATTGCCAATCACATGTAAGGCGCTACAGTTGGTACTGAGGATTGAAAGACAAAAGAGAATACTCTATACTTACAAAGATCTTATATTTTATTGGGTGGAAAATGGAATGAGGACCTGAATTTGAATGGTGGTCTTGTGAATAGTGAGAAGGGAGGAAATGCAAGAGATATGGAAGAATAATTGTCAAGATTTGACAACTAATTGAAGTCAAGTGACGAGAAAGAGAGAAGAGTTGGGGACCCTCTAGAGTTGTGAACTTTGGTAACTTGGAGTGTTTTCAATAGAAGTAAGAAGATTTGGAGGAGGTATGTACTTAAGGACACATCAGTTTAAAATGTTAAGTTCTATTTTGGACAAACTGATTTTCAGATGACAATACATCTAGTAAATTGATGATATGGACAGTAAATAGAATTCAGGAGAAATGAGAGTAAAATTTTAGAAGTCATCTGAAGAAATACAATAATTGAATTTATGGTAGCTGATAATATCACTAAGGAACAGAGTTTAAACTCAGAAGAGAAAAGTGGCCCCTGGAAGAACCTTACAGAATTGTCACAGAGGATTGAAATAAATGTTAAGTAAGCAAAAGGAACTTATAAGGAGTAGTGAATTGGGTAGGAGGGGAACCAGGGGGAAGCAGCATTATGGAAGGCAATGGTGGAGAGAATGTGCAAGAGGAAGGAGCATTTAACCATAGCTAAAGGGTCAGAGAAGTGGAGGATGAGAACTGAGAAAAAGGCCCTTGGATTTATTAGTGAAATGAGACCAGTGATAACATTGGAGGAATTTGTTTTGGTAGTTTAGGGTGGCCAGAAGCTAGATTATAAGGGACTAAGAAGGGGGTTGGTGGTGAAGAGGTGGAGCTATTGAAAGTAGAAGAGAGAGAAGGCAACAGTCTAAGGAGGTAGGAGGGCCAATTAATCCTGTTGGGTTTTTTTTGTTTTGTTTTTTTTTTTAGGCAATTGGGGTTAAGTGACTTGCCCAGGGTCACACAGCTAGTAAGTGTCAAGTGTTTGATCTGAGGCCAGATCTGAACTCAGGTCCTCCT